ATCAAGTTTCACATATATATTTCTACTTCTTCCATTGTAATATATTTAGTATTTTTGATTACTAATTTCCAAAATTTGTTCAGACATTCTCCTTCGTTTATCATTGACAAAGCTGTATACCAAATTTCATAGAAAATTTTTTAACTCAGAACACTTCGATATACTGCACTTAAGAGATTTAGTGTGATAATAGAAAATTATTGCATGCAATTTTTCCATAAATAACGGTTTTTATGAAAATACATCGACTTTGAAGTGGCCATATAATTAAAACATTGTGTAATTTTTTTACTTTACTGCATTTTTTTGAACATGTTTTTAAAAAATCACTTAAATTTAGGTAAATTATGCAAATTAAGCATCGATAAAATCATTTACAGAAAAAAAAATTTGAAAAAATCTGTAAAATTTATCAAAATTGCCAAAAAAATTTGTACAGTACATTTAACATTCAGAAAATCACCTTTATTATAGAAAATAAAGGTTCGAATGCACCAGAAATTGCTAGAATTAGTAGAAAACAATAAATAATTCTCAAAATAAATACATATTTGAAATAATAACTCAAAAAAATGGCAATTAACTTAAAGGAACGATTCAACTTCGATAGCCTTTATTGAAGAAGGCCGGAATATTTTTGCAGTATGTGAGAAAATATCGATTGATATTGGAATTTATTATATCAAATCGATTGTTCGAGTAGTACAGAATATATTTTATCAAAAAATATATCAGTCACAACGAAACGAACAGAGATCAACGCCTATGTTGACGAGTAAAAGTTTCTGGCACACAGCAGTATTTTTGATGCTCAACACAAGACTTTTATTTGTCAAATTGTAAATTTTTTTCTTCTTTTAGGCTAAAATAGATTAAATGGACATTATACTATTCAAAAAATATTATTATGGAAAAATATTGTCATGTTCAATAGATTTTAAGGGTCAAGAGTTAACCATCAAACATGCTGCTGTGTACCAGAAACGTTTTCTCGTCAACATAGGTGTTGATCTCTGTTCGTTCTGTTGTGACTGATATATTTTTTGATAAAATATATTCTGTACTACTCGAACAATCGATTTGATATAATAAATGCCAATATCAATCGATATTTCCTCACATACTGCAAAAATATTCCGGCCTTCTTCAATAAAGGCTATCGAAATTGAGTCGTTCTTTTAGGTTAATTCCCATTTTTTCAGTTTTTATTTCAAATATTTATTTATTCTGAGAATTATTTATAGTTTTCTACTAATTCTAGCAATTTCTGGTGCATTCGGAACTTTATTTTCTATAATAAGGGTTATTTTCTGAATGTAAGGTGTACTGTACAAATTTTTGGCGATTTTGATAGATTTTACAGATTTTTTCAAAAAATTTTTATCAGTAAATGACTTTATCGATGCTTAGTTAACATAATTTAACTAAATTAAAGAGCTTTTTTAAAAATATTTTCAAAAAATGCAGTCAAGTAAAAAATCACACAATGTTTTAATTATATGGCCACTTCAAAGTCGATGTGTTTTCATAAAAACCGTTATTTATGGAAAAATTGCATGCATTAATTTTCCATTTTCACACTAAATCTCTTAAGTACAGTATATCGAAGTGTTCTGAATTAAAAAATTTTCAAAAATACTTCAAACGATTCGAGGGCTGATCAAAAAATGTTTACCACAGTAAATGTTTTAATTCTGTGACCACCACTGTATATAACAAGTTGCGTGGAAGCTGTGATGGTGGCAATGTAAAAAATGGGTGAAAATGTGTTGAAGCCAACGAGTTTTTTTTTTTTTTTTTTGTGTTCGTTCCCGATTTGTGGCTAAACTACACAACGCACGCACACGTGATCAGTGACTAAGTTGCAGAATACCCCATGGACAATATGGTTCTAATGTATGATTTTTCGATATAATCACTGCATCCACCCAAAATGGATGCTGACATTTTGAAGCCGGATTTTCGGTGTTTTTTGAATTTTTCTTATAATTAAGATGCGCATCCAGATAATAGAATAAACTAATTATAGGATCGTAGAACTCGTGATTCTGCTTCGTTTAGTGTATATCTCAGGAATGTGCTCACTGTAGCTTCTTTGCAATTAAGTTCCAAAGACGAAAATTTAGTGCGTAAATTTTTATAAAAAACATATTTTTTGAGTCTAAAATTAAGAAAGTCCATTCAAATTCCGTGGAACCCCGCGTGATTTTAGTTTTTTTTACGTGCCGGATCTAATGAGCCCATCCATGTTGAATTCCGTCCAATAAAACGGCGGATATAGGTATCTTGAATGTGGGAAAAACTGCAAAAATTTATTTCGACAAATTCACGTAAATAATCGCGGGTTTCTTCGAATTAATTTTACATGCATTTATGCTTGTATTGTCAAATTCGCGAAATACATCGATACGCGAATAATATGCGTATTTTATCCAAAATTGATTGTGGAGGCACATCCGCGGTTCTTAACCGATCCTTTTAAAATAGGTGTCGTTTTGCGTATTTTCATAGAAGATTACTAAAATCGGATGCGCCATTTTAGGGTTTTTGCATAGTAAAGCGCTAAATTAAACATCGAAAAATTAATAATTATTGAAAGACATTGATTCGGTTTATACGAAAATCGCATGCTCATCAACTGATTTCAACTAATTCGCGAATTGCAAGCTTTTCAATATTGATGATTTTTATGTATTGTAAGTGCAATATATTTAGCCATTAATGACGTCGAAACTCTTATTAGATGAATTTACCGATATCTAACAATCATCTAAAAGAATTTGCCGAAGAAAGCGTCGTACATTTTAGAAGATTAAGGCAAAACCGTATCCTCTTAACAATACTAAAAAATCGAAAATTCAAAAAAAAAAAATTGTTTTAATTCAAAAATTAATTTATTTTATTTTCCGATATCTTCATGTTTCTATTTGTTTTTCGCGACTATTAAACCGTATTTCAGTGTGATTTGACAAATATGCAAAGAAAACAATGGTGTTTAAGCATTTGTGAAGATATTCGCGAATTACAACGAATAGGAATTCATTTAATTTATATTTGAAATACAAGATTTAAAACCGCTATAACTTTTGTGCGCAGCATCCGAATTTGTGAACGCGAACAGATTTCGAATCAGCATATTTTTCTTAACCTATGTACCAAAAATCATAAATGTGCTCACAAAAAAATTTTTCAAAATTTTTTTAATGGAATTTTAAAAGAATTTTGTAATTTCCCATATATATATATACATATATATATATATATATATCTTCAGCCATTGTAAAAACCAATTTTCAGTAGGCTGCCGTTTATCTATTTATTTGTTGGCATATGGCTGCAGTTCCGTAAAATGTCAGAACACATTGCTTTGAACTAAGTCGGGCCGACATTTTTATTCCCTCCATCATGAGATAGACTTTCCAAATACCAATCCAAAATATAAAACCAGTAAGGAAAGTAGTAAAGTCGGACGGAGCCGACTATATGATACCCTTCACCACTTTGGGTATATTCAACAGATGAATCCTAACAGACGTCGCATTTTTAAATGACCAGTGAAATGAACTTGGATCCATAAACATGTCATTCTGCAATTCATTACGGACTTTGGTACAACATTTACCTTAAACCGGACGAAAATATATATGGGAGCTATATCTAAATCTGAACCGATTTTCAGGAAACTTAACACACATCATTCTAGACCTAATCCATTTCGCTATTCCAGTTTTCAGGCAAATCAAAAGATATATGGGGACTTTGGTACACCTTTTACCTTAAATCGGACGAAGATATATATGGGAGCTATATCTAAATCTGAACTGATTTTCAGGAAACTTAACACACATCATTCTAGACCTAATTCATTGCGCTATGCCAAATTTCGCGCAAATCGAAAGATATATGGGGACATTGGTACACCATTTACTTTAAATCGGACGAAGATATATATGGGAGCTATATCTAAATCTGAACCGATTTTCAGGAAACTTAACACACATCATTCTAGACCTAATTCTTTACGCCATGACAAATTTCATGCAAATCGAAAGATATATAGGGACTTTGGTGCATCATTTACCTTAAATCGGACGAAAATATATATGAGAGCTATGTCTAAATCTGAACCGATTTTTCCCAATTTCAATAGGGTTCGTCCTTGGGCCAATTAAGTGACCTGTGCCAAATTTCATCCAAATCGGATCATAAATGCGACCTGATATAATTACAGACAACTTGGTTGGAAAACATGCCCTAAAACACGGATTCATCGTATTGCGAATTTAGATAATTTCTGACAGACATGACAGTAATTTCGTTTTAAAAAATCATCCAAAATACCGAATGATGCGGTTATGATTTTATAAGAGTGCAACATTTAATTGTTAAATATTTGTCGGTGCAATAACCTTAAAAATAAACAAAATTATGTTTATCGTGAGACGTATTTGTTTACTTGTCATTTGATATCAACAGTATCGACAATATTTTGTATTTATTAATATTTCAAATTCCTTCGGTCTAATATCGACGCACAAACATAATATCAAATCGAAAATGTGTTGTTTTATTAGAATAATTTAAATCTAATTTAGATGTATAATTATATGTATGCAAAAACAATTTTGCATCTTGGTTTTTGGCAAGGTACCGGTATCAGTTATAATGACGAAACCTATATGTGCAACAACGGTAAAAAAATTAATTAATTTTTTTTAATGCGATCTTCATATTTATCACTGTTTCATTTGTGCATTAATTATTTAGAAAAATTGAACATAATTTAAAAACGTTTAAAACAAGTTTGGGAAACGTGTTTGAACTCATTACTATTCCCAAATATGGAGAACACTTTCTTCCTTCATTTAGTTTTGAACATTAAAAGGCGATAACAGGCGAATCATTGATTAGTTCTATAGTAGCTTCGAACAATTCGAACATAATTTGATAAAATTAAAAAAAAATAATATAATTTAATTGAAATAATTTCTCTATAAAGTATGTTTCGGGTCCAAATTGCTACCGTTTTGATTATTGCTGCGCTAGCAACAGTGACCTGTGATAAATATCTCGACAAAAAACGTATGAAAACAGTGAATAGACTTATTGGGAGATAATTGATTTGTGTTTTTATTTTAGCGGAATTTTTTACACCTTGCAAGCAAACGGATCCCAACTTTAAACAATGTTTTGCAAAGGATTTTGAAGTTGTGTTCTCTAAGTATAAAGATGGTAAGAGTATGGAAAATATTCAAATGATAAACTGTGGATATGATTTTCCAGTGCAAGTAACTGAAATTGATAACTGAAACCGATAAAAAAGAAAACAGAAAAACGAAATTTTATAAAATTTGAAAAAAGTATGATCATATGCAAGACATACGATAAAAATAAATAATCTAAAACATTTGTCTTTTGAACTTTTGAAAACTAAAAAAATACCGTTATCGTAATTAATGTCCTCCGAATAATCAAATACAGCAACGGTTCACATCACAATTATAATTATGTATTGTCTCTAGGTGTACCTGGACTTAAGAACTTCGGAACCATTGATCCATTGCATGTTAAACGTGTTGTTGTGGCTGAAGATGGCAATAGTCCTGTCTCCATCAACCTAGCTCTCTCCAACATAGAAGTTCTTGGCTTCAGTAACACCAAAGTACTCGAAGCCAGGTAAGTAAAAAGTAGTAAATTTTTGTGAAGAAAACTCATTTTATTTTTCTTTCAGTTTTGATCAGACAAAATACATTACGAAGCTGAAATTTGTAGTCCCCGATATAAAAATTCTATCTGATTACGAGGGTAAAGGACGTGTATTAACATTGCCATTGAATGGCAACGGAAAGGCTCAAATGGATATTAGTAAGTACATTTTATTGAACCACGGAATTTGTGAATTTTTATTGAAATTAATAGTCCTAGAACTTTGATACATATATTTCCATAGAATCTGGATGTCATTGACATGTATAGCATATCCGCAAAATTTTATATTTTTCCTTCTATATTGCCCTAAGATGCAAATGCGTCCAAATATATGTATTGCTGCTAATGATCAGTGGATAACGACGAGACGGGTGTCTTGCAGTCAGATCGACGATGGCCATTAATATGGAAAATAGAAATTTGGGCCATCAACACGATATCTGTTCCAAATATCATCATATTTTAGTATATTTCCTATATAATGGTAGAAAAAATATTAGGCATTTTGTGGATTTTTGGCGACATTTTAATACCCTACACAACTATGTTGAAAGCGTAATATAGCTCTGTGCACCCCCAAGAGTTTGTAACGCCGCGAAATATTGGTCCTAGACCCACCTTTAAGTATCGATCGTCTTATCTCGACTAGCTAATTCGATGTAGACATGTGTGTCCGTCCGTCTGTCCATAATAATTTGTAAACACGATACATACCACAGTTATGGCCCAATTTTCAAGAAATTGTTCATGTATGATGGGTTCTGGCCAATGAAGACCCCTATTTCTATTATGTGACGTATATATTTACTACTGAAGGACATAGACCCGAGACCGCTTTAAAATTTTCCAAGATGTTCCAGTTATGGTCAAGGACAACGTCTATAATTTTTGGTGATGATCACTTACAAAATTTGGGATGAAGTGGACCGAAAACTTAATTTTTGTGTGTTTTTGTGTCGATCTATAGGCCACAAGCCGACCATCACAACAAAACCCACGATGTCTCATTTGACCCCAACTCTGCATATCGTCGTATTTGTAGCAACTCTAAATCAGTTCCAGATGTAGAATCTACTTCTTCATCCATCCATTTCCACATGTTGAAATCCACACCATTCGATCCATAATTTTCAAATCGTAATACTTTTAACAAACTTAGAAGAAGTCCGATGATGGGACCCAATTATGAAAAATTAGGCATAGGCTGTGGGTACACCGACTGACACTTTTTTATAACCTCCACCATAAGGTGGAATATATATATATATATATATATATATATATATTAAATTATATTATATATGTATATTAAATTTGTCATTCAGTTTGCAACACCTTGAAATATTTACCGGAGACCCATAAAAATTAAGTTTATATAACGGTACTGGCAGGGACGTACGCAGGGGGGGCGGCAAGGGGGGCGGCCAGGGGGGCCCGGCCCCCCCCCCGTCCCGAAATGAATTTTTTTTCACAGTAAATTTATGTTTGCAACAGCGAATTTTTTCATTTTGTACTACCGGCAAGTCCCCATAAAAATGTACCTATCGATTTTAAGTATCTTGAGTGGGGGGTCTAAAAAGAACGGCCCGGCCGAACGTAACGACATTTTTACTTGTTTGTGATTGTCTTCTAATATTTCTTTATAATTTTTTCCAATGTCGATATAACTGTATGTTTCATTTTCATTTCAGAAAACCTAACTGCTAATGTAATATGCAAACTTAAACGTCGCGACGAATATGGTATGAAATTTACGGACATACAAAAAGTTCGGATGGATATTGATGTTGGTGGATTTCATATAAATTTGGAAAACCTTTTTAATGGCCAAGAGGTTTTGGAACAAACGGCCAATAATTTATTCAATGATAATTGGAAAGAACTGTTCGAAGCTTTACGGCCATCAATTACAGCAACAATACAAACAGTTCTGGAGGATCGTTACAAAAAATTGTTTGCTTATATTCCGGCAACATATTTTATCGAAGATTTAGAATAATTAATAAATTGAATTGTTATTCAAATATTTTAATGGCCCATGATTCATTGAGTAAAATTTTATATATATTACTAGCGGGCCCGGCAAACGTTGTCTTGCCTAGCAATATAGTGATGTATAATTTTCGTCATTTTAGGTTGGTTTTTATACCCTCCACAGATTTTTGTAATTCCTTGGTATTTGTCCGAACATACAGAAAATAACATTACAGTACTAAATATCTAAAATTTTATGTTTATGAGCGAGTCTTGTTGATACCACTCTTCTAAAGTTCCGTTGAATATAATACTGTCTAATTAAAATGATCAATATTGGCCCAAGAATTCGAATATCCCCTATATAACGGTATACTTAAAATTCGGCATTTGACTGTAATTTTATATGCGCCCAAGCCCCCAAATATCGTCTATATAATAGTACTCCACATTTTCGATGCTTTGAGGGATTGGGCACGTTTTTAAATATAATCGGCTGTAATTTCCATTCCGGGATGGTAAAACACATTTTTGCGGAAACATTTCTATTTAGGACCAAGATTTAATATAGCTTCATTTCCGTATTGACCGAATTGGGTTGGCCTAACATATTAAGAAGATGTCATAAATACTTCCCGTTTAATTATCGGTATGTCTGTAATTTTGAAAATTATTTTTTCAGAGCATGGACATAATGCCCATAATGCTGAAACATTGTCCCCACCGATTTAGGGAATCCACAAAGTGCGAAGTGTTGTGTTTATAAGTTCAAAGACATTAACCAACGATTAGGAGAAGATTTGATATTTCTCGTGACATTGCAACATTTTAGGTACTTGAAAGATCAACATGTCCCAATTATTACTATTTTCAAGAAAATACTCTAGAGAATGAATCTTATTTGTCCCAAAATGTACGTTGATTTTATAGAAAATCGTGTACATACAATGATCGCGTGTACATTCAATGTTATACTTCTCAATTATTTTTTGTATTCTCGCAAAAAAAGTTTCAATACAATAGGTTTGTCCGATAACTTACTGAGTAAAATTTACTCAGTTACTTATGTTGAAAGAGTTTGTTCTCTCATGTGAAAATATTAAAGAAAGTTATCGAACAACATTCTGCAAAATCCAGTAAGAAATCAAATGTATGTAAAAATAACAATTTTTAATAAATGAGTTTTATATATTTCAATCTATTATACATTGCATATTGTTTCATATCCCAAAAAATTCAAATTTTCAGTTATTGCATTCATAGAAAAAAATTAAAACTTGACAACAAAACATTAACATGAAAATTCTTAGTCCCAATTTATATTAGGCGAGTTTACTTGCTTCAAGTCTTTGAGTGTAGGAGAGAGGGGCAAGGGGAATAGAAATGGAAAAAATTGCTCGTACCGACAATTTTCTGGCAATTCGTTTTGTGTATTTCGCATTTGTTGACATTTTATATTTATTTAAATGTGAAAAACTATTGACATCAAATGAAAAAAGAAATTGCCTTGTATAGACGCATGGAGCAAGTTTAAAAAGGAACGATAATAATTGCCGCAAGTAAACTCGCCTAATATAAATCAGGACTTACTGAGTAAATTTTTGCAAGTAAGAATTTTTCAATACTTAGTAAACAACTGCCAAAATTTCTTTCTCAACTTCCCCTCATTTAGTGAACTTTGAAGTTATCGAAATACAAATTGTTGCAAATTATTGCGATATCAAACAAGCATAATGTCAATCCAATTGAAAAAAAAATAAAATATTTTGAAATTTTTTCGCTACCAATTCTAGCCCAAAATATCTCAAAAAGCAACTGCGACGTGGTGCAATCAAAATAGCTTGATACAAAATTCGTGGCAATGCAAATATGCTTCATAATATTTTTTTTGCAAATTTTCCGCGGAACATTTCAAGACTAAGATCAGATAAATCCGTTAAGCCGTTCTCTAGTTTTAGGGAGACTAAACAGCAATTCATTCAAGGCAATGACAATCGAATTGATTGTAGAAAATTAACATGTTTTGAGAATTTTTCCATTAATTACAATATTATACGCTGCCAATTTGCGCCCAAAATATGTCCAAGAAGAACTACGAAGAGATGAAATCATAAAGGTTCGATATAAAATGTGTGGAAATTCTAATATCTTTAAAATATATTTTGCAACATTTTCGCGGATGTTTCTCAAAATGTTCTTTCATTAAAATCTTTCCACTTCGATTGCAGACTACTAACAGAAACTTTAAGTCAAATCGTCCAGCCGTTTCTTTAAAGTAATTTTTGCAACATTTTCGCGGATTTTTCTCCAAATGTTCTTTCATTAAAACCTTTCCACTTCAATTACAGACAACTATCAGAAATTTTATGTCAAATCGGTCCAACCGTTTTTTTTAATAATTTTTGCAAGAAAATCGCGGATTTTTCTTAAAATTTTCTTTCATAAAAACCTTCCCACCGTTAGTATACATTTTTCTTCTTCCATTTTTATATATGTATATGTATATAGATATAGATTTTAAATTTAAGCACACCTTACAAATCTGAAAATATAATACTTCCTGGCAATTTATTCAAATATTTCTTGCCCTGTTCCAAGAGAGATGCATCCATAGCTTCTTCAATAACTGGACGCATAACTGCCAATAAATCTTGCCAATTTTGATTGAAGACGTCATTGGCGCTATCCGTGAGTGTTGGATTGTCACCGAAGAGATTATCAAATTTCACATGCAGAGATCCGAGGTGTTTCACATTTGACTTTAGCGATTGAACTTCAAAGAATTGTTCAGAATCTCTTGTAACACGTTTGTTCTTAACCACAAATCCGATTTCAATATCGCCTGTAAAACAAAATATAAAGTTATTTATTCAGAAGAATAATGAAATATATTTCTTTTGTTTGTCATACCAAGATCTATACTAAAAGGGCCCTTTCCATCCAGATTTAAGACTAAA